CAAACATGCCCAGGGAGGGAGACAACATATCATGAACGATGCACCAGGAGGGCTTGGGTCCGGCTATAAAGAAACAACTTCTGGAGACAAAGGGTCACGCCATTAAGCGCGTGCTGTGCCAGATACCTAATTGGCAGGACAAGGAAAACAGGACAGCCAAGGAAGAATGACGACGACCCAGGAACATACCAATACGAACAAGTCGGACAAACGCGACCGAACCTTATTACCGAAGAGTTGCGTATTGAACGAAATGCGGAGGGATCTATGGCGAAGAACTCACCATCATGAGCATGATCTGTCAAACAAACAACCACAGAAGTACCAAGGGAGCGATGCGCAGGCAAGTCAGAGATACCATGGAAACCGGGATAACAACAGGACTTACCCTGCAAGAAGATCCGGAGGCCCTTCCGGCAGACATATGGAAAGAAGAGAGGGTACATATAACAACCCGATGTGGATGGGAGTTGCAGACGCACCAGTCTGGAATGCGAGAGAATCGGCAGACCCTTTGCCAGTAACTAATTGGCCACAGAAGTACCAATTAGGCAGCAAATACCTCAAAGCGGAAATCAACAGGTTAAGCTGGGTCCTGGATAATTTTCAATGGCATAATCAATTCAACGGATACCCACGCACAGGCAAAACCAGTGACCCCCCAAAATGACAAGAGAAACAACGCACGCCACCCACATCGGTAACGAAACGAGAAACTTCAAAAGGCAAGAAGCACGGTGCAAGGCGGCGGACCTTGACAAAGAGAGCAGGACGTCAATCACCGGAGACAGAAGAATCATGCAAGCAATTTGACATAGTGCTTACCTACTGTGGAGAGGATCCACTGAAGACGTACACCGAGCAACACTTCAAAACATATGAGCAACGCGAGAAGAATGGAAACCCGTTGGAAATCAGAAAGAAGCACATACGATAAACAAATCGGCAAATGAAAGGTCCAAGAAGACCTGCAGACATTACGAGCAGCCAGTGCGGAAACACATACATAACGTTCCCAACCGATCAAGAAACCAAGCAATCGGAGAGCACCGCACCATTTCATGCATACCGAAAAATACAAGCGGATAAATATATTTGCAAGAAAGTTGAAACAAACGTGTTACACGATTGGAAAGCAATTGACCAAGAGGCAAGCATATCCTGTTTTGAAAAAAAAAAAGCGGAACAAGAAAGACGCACTTGCAGAAATTCATTGGCACAATATCGCGGACATGCAGGTTATGTCAGATCGGTAAACTACTATAGTGACAGAAATACGCGGCAACCAGAACGAATAGAAGAAGCACCCCTTGGCGACCCCCAACAGGGGCGCAAAGGCAAACATCAAGGGAAAAGCAGCAGACCGCAACGAAGCCCGACATACCAAGAATAACACCCAACAGCGGTGGGAAGGGAGTGCACGGCAAGTACTGGAAGAAAGAAACACAAACACCAAACGGAGCGAGAGGAACCCCAAACCAAGGGAAACTTATACGAATAAGGTTATCAACAAGGAAAATGCATTCAATCGCAAACTACATTCTCATACCGCGAAGAAATGACGAGAGGTGGCGTAGTGAAGCCTGAAGCACCGCAGTCTGAATATAGAGCACTCATATAAACCAAACATGCCGACCGGACTACAAGTATGATCTACATGTAACGGGGAGACAATAGCGAAACCAATCAGCAAACCAGAACTACCGAATGAACAGAACAAACCGCAACGAAATAACATTTTGATCTATATACAGACGGAGCCTGACATATCGCAAAAAGCGCCAGAGAGGAACCGCGCGTTGGATGGGGACTGGTACTTCTTCGGGCAGACCAAGAATACCCCACCCATTAGTACACACATTACCGATGAGTTCTATGGGCTTGTCATCGCGTAGGAAAGCCAATACAAATACCTGAGAGCAGAACAAACAACAAGCAACACAGGGGCACTCTCGGCCAGTTCGAAGAACGTAAATGGAGAGCCAGGGGAAATGATAGAATACGAGAAACGATCATAAGATTTGAGTACAAATTTTGCAGCGAACCAAGCCCGAGGGAATTACAATGCCACAAGGCATGTGCTACTAGTAAACACAGCTCATACCTTACACAGACAAGGAAGAAGGCATGTCAGGGCCTCCGTAAACCATGCGAAAAGGACATTGTGACCACTGGAACAGCTTCGTGGACGCCCTCGCAGGAAAGGGGGCAAAAAGACGAATCTATCACCATTATACGAAGCCGAACATGAGAAAGAAATTGGAAATTGTGCCACGGCGACCGATACAATTGAACGACAAGAAGAGGACAACAATAACACTACGACCATGCATGTGAACGATGCGGAAGACACGCGCCCAGTGACCAACGATTGCGTGCGCGCGGTTTCAGAAAAGAAAACGCAAGGACAGGGACAAACCATATACGTACAGGCGTACCTGAATGACATTGGAAGAATGCTCACTGCAGTAATGAAGACTGCGGAAAACATATCGAACAACGAAACAAATCAGCCATCTAGCCCGCAACATAGCACCACTATCCGATCGACATCCAATGGGGACGCGCTTCAGAAATAATGCAGTGTAATAAGGAAGAGAAGCGACATATCACACCAAACAGGATCACCCCAAACAAAAAGGAGTTCACCGACAGCTTGGGCCTGTGATATCCACAGAGATAATGTATCCAATCAATTTCAAATTTGGGAAGGCAGAGAAACAGCGGTGCTAGCATGGGTATCAACTTCAAAAAGCAGCAGGAACCAGAGGAACCACAGTGGAACGAAACCGTTCAGACTACACAAGCGGGGAATGAAGCAGCTAGCCACAACCAATAAACAACGCGAAGTAGACAGTAATAGTGATGACCAGCAATACGACAGCCTGGACACCGTCTTAGGATAACGATAAGGCAGGGGAAAACACCTCATGGAACCCGCACAACGTGAAAATTGAAAAGCACAGAACTAGTAACAGGACAACTCACAAAGTAGCAACTGCGGAGAAAACGCCTGGGACAACCAGGTACGCCAGACTTGACGACAATTGCGAGGACACCGAACTGGCACAATATAGACAACGGGTAAAGAGGCTACGACAACAGCAGATGGAGCATGAAAGCGAAGACAGCCAGAGCGACTGGGACAACGAAAAAAAGAATATGAACACCAAGAGCAGGACCATTACCCCGATATGCAGAAATATTCAGACCTGGAAAAACTGATTGGACAAACATACCCCGGTCTTAATAAGTATAGCGCGAATGCCTGGGGCATCTTGAGGGACGCGAACACTCAAGACTTCCATACTACCATGATTTAGGACATCCGTCTCGGGAAGGAAGAGCAACGCAATGCCATTAGACAAGCACGGAACTTCGGGCACAGAGTTTTGATGACACGACCATGGTACTGGAAAATAAAAGATATGAGGGTATGGACAACACGGGTTTGATGGCCCTTGTGTATACATAGAGGACACTATTGCCATACACATATCAAAATCCAGCCCGCCCTACGGAAGAAGGACAACAGTGGATATTGCAACTGCTGGAAGCAGCTACAAAGAAATAGTGGCTGATCGCAGGAATGATCCCGATGTAAGCCCCACTGCAAGAATGCTAAGACTCATAGGGGCAACGGCACACAAACCAGAAGGACCGAGTCGCTGGCAAGGGAACAGAGAGACCGACCACACCATCCAGTTTAATGCGGGACTAGGGCAAAAACAACCGAGATTGCATAATTTGGCGCTATCCGACCATAAACCGCTATTGGCATGGATGGCCATACAATATGCACGGGAATATTCATTACCAGTCATGAGACAGCACGCTAATTTGGACAAATCTCGAAGAATGGAAAAACGTTATACAAGCCGCGATCAAGCAATGGCCAGAGGTGGAGCGTACAACCTTTGAGAGCGCCGTAATCTTGAATAGTGAAGCCATGTGATCTTGAATAACGCCCCTTCAACACAAAACGGAAACCATGTAATCTTGAATAGTGGCCATATCTACGCCGAGTATTCAAGCTAAGCAAACTGGTATAACAATCGGCCTTACAGAAGTCAAAGTACACTGCACTTCGGGGAAATATGCTTATCAACAATGCCGAGCGAGGAGCTAAGCGTCATAACATAAATACACCCGCGAAAACGCATGGCCAATACTTGGACGAACAACATCATGACACATGGCACCAAGTCGGCCACAACACAAGGACAATACCGATGAAGCAAGGAAGGACGGCAAACACTAAGCTATTGAAGCATGGAAATGCCAAATACAGGACATTAGCAAAGCCCATGGATGTATGAAATATGAAATCCTGGACTACATCTCGACCAAATACACTAGCGCACATAT